CATTAAATTCCAGTGAAATATATTTATGTTTGTGGTTGTAATGTGACAAAATATGGAAAAGTTCAAGGGGTATGAATACTTTTGAAAACCACTGTATACAGTATAGAGTGAGGAGCTTGCAGGGCTCAAAAAGAAAACAAAAAACACCAGAAAGCTTAAATCTGGTGTTTTGATTTAATAAATCCACAGCTGGGTGGTCCCTGAATGTGTCAATCAGCACCACGCTGGTTCATCTCTTCAGGAGTTGGCATTCTGTCACTACCTCACTCAGAGGTAGAGGTAGGGTGTTTTAGTCTCCCTCTCTGCTTGTGTGTGTCTTCTGAATAGACGTAGATGGTCAGAACACTCGTCAGTGACTGTTCAGGGACAGAAATAAATTTTTGCCGTTTTAAAGCAGCTTCAGTCTCAAATCTTTTATTTATGCAGTTATTGGTTTAGGCACCTTTGCAGTGCTGTACTTTCTTACATTTGATTATTTAATGGTTATTTAGGTCAAGTTTTCTGCAGATCCCTTTTACCACAAGTGATCCATTTGAAAAATACACTATGTTGTAAAACAGACTGTATTAACGTTTCTTTATTATGCAAATATAAACTAGTAAAAAAAGCTAAATATTTGTTAATTTTTACACCATCTTTATCTTTTATCAGATAGATTGTCTGGTTGCACTTAACAGTTTCCATTTCCAACATTAGACAGGGACCATCACTGCTTGACCAACTCAACCTTCAATTAAATGACTAAATCTCTGTGAAACAAAAAAATAGTAATGCAAAAGTGACTGAATAAACTGTTTTTAGACATTTTATTCTGTTTTAGAACTGGCCTCACCCATTTGAGTCATTAGACCATCTCCTCAGAGAAATTATGCCTACTATTCCCACTGCGGGTAAGATACTGATTACTGATATCATTATCACAGAATGTCACTTCAAAATAACCTGCACCATCTCTTTAATTTGCTACTTCATATTTAAGTCTCTCAGCCAACTTTGACTAACAAACAACAGGAACCCTGAACAGTTCAGATGTAGATCCAACACTTCCAAAAAAGATAAGATTCAAATTGACAGACAGATGCTTTTAATTAATTACTTTTAGATCTTCTTTTTTAACTCGGGACTCGTTTGGCAGAAACAAACAAGGGTGAAACAGATAAAGGGAGGAGGGGAAAAAAAGACAAAATGGAGCAGTGGTAATCCTGGTCAACAGGCCCAGACAGCTCATCCACACTCCCTTATGCTCATACAGAAACACTGTAGTGATAACAGCAGCTCCACCTTCTAATCTCAGTGTACTCAGACTCTCACTCTTCAGGCTTCTCCATTTTTATCTGAATGGTATCATTTTCAAAGACTATCATCTGCTCAAAGACTTTCAAGGACACAAGGAAGATTGTGTCGCCTTTAGAAAGCTAGTTCTTTCTTACGACATTTCAGCGCGAGTGTCTTAAGTGCTCCACCCCACACACACACACACACACACACACACACACACACACACACACAC